CTCTGCCTTTTGGGTGCGAGCGCAGGAGCCTTTGTCGGTGCAGAACGTTTCGTCGACGTTGTGGGTTTCGTCGGGGAGAAAACTTGCAACCGTACAGCACTTCAGAATCACTGCTAGAGATTGAACATGTATTTAAATTTGGCAGCTGAACACATTCTTTACTGTACTGTACAGGAGACAGGAGTCCCTTGGCCAGTCAGGACGCAGTGGGAGGAACGCAATACGCATTCATACAATGTAAAAAAAAAAACAGGGCATGCAAAATGGCACACAAAAAAAAAAAAACATCTGCGAGACAGCGAAAAGTGAACTGCGATAGAGGGAGGGACGAGTGTAAACCAGGTCTAAACCAGAACTGACCCAGGTCTAAACCAGGTCTAAACCAAAACTGACCCAGGTCTAAACCAGGTCTAAACAGCGTGGAGTTCTTTGTCAGTCCTTTCGCCCGCGGTTACCTGAAGGTCTATGAGGGCGCATCTCCGGCGTTTCACTGCTGCTGATATCGAGGTGATTTTAGCGAATTTGTATGAAGAAAAACCCACCACTTCAATCCAGGTTAAAAAAACACTGTAACGCACGTTACTCACATTTGTACCGAGTAAAATATTACTATTTTTTCCCCTATAATGCCTTACATTACTGCGTTACAGCAAAAAGTAATGCATTACTGTAATTCGTTACTTTTATAACGCGTTACTCCCAACACTGTTTACAAACAACATTTCAGTTACAGTCACCTCTGATTAAGAGTTATTAAGACTTTGAATTCATTTTAATTTAATTAATTCTGCACAAATCTGCCATGTTTTTCAGTCCCTTGTGTTATTTTTTCCTTTCTTTATTCCTTATACAGTTGTTTATATACGGATGGACCATGCGTGTCACTGATTTGATCCACCTATCAATCACGCCCATCTGAAACAGTGAGATTCACGGGTGACCAGACTTGAAGTGTGTATTCAAGATCCCAGGCACTTTCTAAAACAAAACAAACATGTTCTGTCTCCTAAAGGCAAAACTTTATGTAAACAATAAAGTTTAGTTAATCAGCACAGCTCTTTTCCTCATCTGAGCGTCTGTGTCACAAACTCCAACTGGAGCTCCCAGACAATAATGTTTATTTTTGAAACTGGACTGTCCATTCTGTGCCCGGGGGCCACATCTGGAGTAGAGCCATGCCAGTGAGGCTCAGCTAACTCCTCAGCAAAGCAACACAAACTTTTAATTCTCAAAATGCTGCTCAAAAGTATTTATGACAGAGAATGGCAATAGACAGACTTTGTTTTCATACATTTAAAGAACCTTATATCAAAGTGGTGTGCTTTTCTTGCTCATAATATACGTATACCTCTGCGCTATTGGAAGTGGCATCTCAGAAGATTAGGCATCTCCAAAACACACTATTATTTTGCATTTAGACAAGCTGCAACTCATCATTTTTTGACACTACTGGAACTGAGCTGTGGACTAAAACACAACAAGTGTCTGTGGTACATAAAAAGAAAAATATAAACACAATATGTTGATTATCTGGCAAAAAAAAACAAATATGCATGTAACTTTTTTGGTGGAGGTCTGCCACCTGGTATCTCCATGAAGATGTTATCCCTTTGCCTAGAACGTTTCACAGTACAGAATTAGACAGCTGTCTTCATGTAGACAAGCTGATTATCCATCACTATCACCACCAGAAAAGTAACGTAGTGCATCTTTAAAATATTGTTTGTTTGTTTTGTTTTTTTCGTGAAAAACATAACTGAACCACCAATCTTCCAGTTATATCCTTACAAACTAAGCAAATGCCATCACAGCAGATGAGTCTGAAGTTAAAGGCTGTGCTCTGATTCACAGCTACTTGGAAAAACTATAACACAAAGTTTACGGCATCTAATTTAAACTCTGCAGTTTCATTCATTTACCTGTGGCACAACTGAGGCTTTGCAGGGACACACATTTGTCACTTCACCACAGAAATGCTTTCAGAACAAAATCACAGGAGTAAAGCTTTAATATGTTATGCTAAATTATACTTTGCATTATCAACAAGTGCCACTAATTGATAGCCTGGTGAGCCAGTCCCTCCTAGTTTTTGTTTGAACACAGGAGGGTCTGGGATCAGGCTACAGGAAATCATCTCTCCCAAGTTGTTTTGACAAACTAACTTGCTCTGCACACAACAGAGCACAGCCAGCTTACAGTTAACAGCACCACCTCTGCTGCTCTTATATCTCTGTGGGGCTTTTGTGAAGATGCGCTGATGTGAGTAAACACTGACAGATCACACAGTGGAAGGTGAGCTGTGAGTGAACATCACTGACAGTAGTTTAAACACTTTACAAATATAATGAATACTTCACTGGAAGCCACTTGTGTTTTTGACGGTTAGTTGTCTCAAGGCTAATATTAAATAAAAAGTAGAGCCTGACCGATATGGATTTTGCTGTGGCTGATATGAAACCGATATAATGTTAGTTGGAGCTGCCGATAGCCGATATAATCGCCGATATCTTTAGTGATGTAAAAATTCACTGTAAATGTTGAATTGTTTAAAAAACTTAGGTTTGGCTCTGGTGGATTTTAAATTGGGTTTATTTTGGCAACATTTATTGTTATTCTGCCTCTTTACATCATATTTACAGATAGTAGGTTGGCCTAATGGCATTTTTGCATCACATTCTAGTCACTAGTGATGGGTATTCCAGTTCTTTTTAGAGAACCGGCTGTTTTGGCTCGGCTCACTAAAAGCAGCTGGTTCTTTTGGCTCCCAAACGGCTCTTCAGATTGTTTTGTTGCAAGCAGGTCTAAAGCACATCTAAAGCAGGACTGAACCAGGACTGAACCAGGTCTAAACCAGGACTGAAAAAGGACTAAACCAGGACTAAAACAGATCTAGGCCACGTGTAAAACAGGACTAAACAAAAACTGAACCAGGACTGAGTGTCAGGACTCAGTCTCTATCTCGTGCCCATTATTAGTCCTAGTTTATTTATTTTATGCTAAACTACAGCCAAATATGCACGTTTTTTTTTTTTTTATTATATGTACACGCAAATTTCTCAAAGTTTCGTTTTCAGCCGCTGCCGCTGTCAAACTACCACGAGTCTGCATGCGGTGTGAAGAGAAAAAAAGTGAGGGAAAGAGAAAACACGGCTCCCAATAAGGAGCAAGCTCCCGTCGTTCGCTTCAAAGAGCCGGGTTTAAGAGCGATTTCGTTCGCGACCGACCCGTAACTACTAAAGAAACTAGAGCTATTAGCCTTTAGCCGTAAATACGTGTGCGCCGTGGTAATTAATTATATGTGCAAATGTCATAATTCACACGTCTATTCACAGCTCATTTACATATCAATGCAGGTCCAGTAACAAATATATGGCCAATGTAGTCACTTTACAATAGACCAATAGAAAACAGCCTGTTTATGTGCGGGAGCTACAGCAGCTAATCAATAACAAATAACCAAAACTAGCTTCAGAGTCGACATATTTTCAAGACTCACTGCTCTCACAGGCTCCTCCTCACATCACAAGTCTGAACTAATAAATGTCCTTTTAATCCAGACTCAAACCGATGGTCCGTAAAAAGAATATAATCTCAGTGTTTGGATCTGTGTCTGCGGGTGTAAACAAACACATGTGAGTGATGCGACTCTGTGGTGTGTTCAGGGACAGTACGGACACACGCATAGACAAATAACTCCGTAGATAAATACTGATGTGGAGCCACATATTTGGACATTTTTCTGTCTGTAAATTGGATTAAAAGAACATAATGTAGAGAGTCTAAGATTTTTAACGACGTATCACATGCCCTCGTGAAATATCGGCCCCTATCAGCAAGCATATCAGCCGATAGCCGACATGCCTCCAGGTGCCCATATCGGCCAATAATATCGGCCAACTGATATATCGGCCAACCGATATATCGGTCGGGCTCTAATAAAAAGTTTAAAACATAAAATATAAAATAAATAACTAAAATAAAGACAAAGATGTTTTTCACTTCACATTTGAAAAGTTACATGTTTATTTTAGAGTGACTCCCATAGAGATATAAGAGTAGCAAAAGTAACTTTGTGCACAGAGACAATTACAGATGCTTATTTGCAGCTTGTGTCTTATGTGTGTTATTATTATGTTTCCTTTTCTTTCTTTCCTGTAAGCCGCCATGTTTGATTGTACCCTATGGACTGTGTGCTCCTTTTATTGGAAGGCAGACCTGGTTCCATTTGTTTTAGTTTGACAAGTACGGGAAAGGTCAATTTTACTGTTCAGGAAAACAGATTCACTTCAGTTTAGACCACAGTGATGTCAGCAGCTCAGGACTAACCTCCCATACTGATGAACTAACTTGAAACTGAGGCTGTGTCCCAATTCAAAGGGCTGCAGCCTCCGAAGGCTGCGAAGGCTGGGTCCTTCGTCAGCTGCGAAGGCTGCAGCCCTTGAACTGGCCTCCGCGGACTGCCAGGCCGCTGCGGAAATGGGACAGGTCTAGCCCTCGGAGCCGCTCCCCCGTCGCCTAGCAACTGAGGGACGCTGCTAGCGCTAATGCTAATGCTAACACGCTCCGCGCAGATTATGCACACGGATCAGTAAAAAGAATACGCACAGGTCATCAAACTGTCGGATTTTGTGACCAAATTATTTTCATAATTCGCATCCAAATCTTATGGCCAAAAACGAAAATGTATGTTTAACTTTTGCAAAACAAAACGGCTATATTTAAGGGATACATCTTAAATAGACTAAATTATCTTAACGTTTAAAAAAAACTGATGTGATATGCATTACTAAATATTATCATTATGAAGTATTTTTATATTGACCAGGGATTACATTTATACAGTCAGTTTGTAAAGAAAGAAAGACATCTCTCCTGAGAAAAGCTGGTTTATTAAACAATCCAAGGAACTTCTGGAAATACTTTATCATAATATCAATAGTCAAACATTAAACACACACACTGCACTAAAAGGTTAGTACAAACAGCTGTATGTCAGTAAATCTCATTGTGTTCCCTTTTTGCTGAAGCAAGTGACAATCAAAAATGAACAAATTATCTTTGCCAGATATGATCATGTGGAACACCACAGCTTATCTGCAGTACAATAGTACATTCTTATAGTACATGTAATTAGTTACTATCAAAAGAGACACCAAATAAACAGCACATTTCACCATAAATCAAATGTCAGTACAGACTGAAAAACATTCAGAAAAACTTATGAACAGATGTTTTCATTTCTGTCTCACACACTTGTTCAGATCATATAAGACTTTGGACCTCCTCCTCAGAGACTCTGGACATGGAAATTGGAGACATGGATAGTGGACTTGGACCACTCAATCTGATGTGTCTCTTGTCTTCTGGAGGAGGAAGAGCAGAATGGGCATTACGTCTGATGGATTCAAAGTTCTGTCCTGCAGAGTGAAAACCTGTAATGACACACACATTAAGAAAACTACAACACTATTAGAGGAAAATAAGTTTCACAGAGCATGCAGCCCCAAAGAACACCTGGACTCCCCCCGCACTATTTACATTTATTATTATTTATTTATACACAAGGAAGTGAGAAAAACAATTTCGATTCTTTATATGTTTTTCATATGAAGAATTGACAATAAACGATTTTAACGTCGAACTTAAACTTTGATGTACATCCAGATTCAAAGGCAGTTTATATCTGAAATAGCTAAATGATTAGAGGAATCCCACAAATTTGAGAAATGCATATTTTCACAATTTAAATCATAATTTCAACATGAGCATGATTCATTTGCAGCTCTTTTTATTAGTAGAGTTTTCAGTGTAACATGCCCCAGACCTAATCGTTGGCAGGAGTCTGGGTCAGCACCTCCAGCTCAGTGTTGGCTTTACTTTGTCATCTGCATTTGACCCATTTTATGAATCACAAGCATCTTGTCAGCCAACAGTTCTGTGGCCCCTGCAGTGTGCTGTGTCCTCATACTGGAGGCTGCAGATGAGAAAAGAAAATTCATGTAAAACAGATTTCTCATTGTTATAACATTAGATGTGACAAACCTAACAGAGGGTCGTATCTACACCAGTGTCTGCACAAATCTGTTAAACGAGCCTCATGTCCATCATAAATCTGACCTGTCCAGGCAGGATTATGTACTTTTCACGTTACAAGACACAGATTGTTAACCAGATAATGTATTCCCTGAATGAAATGCACACGTTGGAGGCTTATATTGTGTGATTTACAAGTAAATATGAGCTTTGATAGAGTCAAACTGAGTCTTTTCAGTTGAATGTATGAAATAATGTGTGTTTTCATCTTAACTCCGAGCTACACTGACCAACTGTTTACATGTTTACACTGTCCGTGAAAACGTGGAGTTTTCTCCTCGTAGCTTCTTTAAATCACTCTGTGGGCTTCTTTTCCCCTAACAGTAAAAACATGATTAGTGTTTGATGGAAATGTGTCTAAATATGAAAGTTTGAGCGGACTTTTCATCGCATTAGCTGCACATTACTTGGCAAACTTTAGCTCAAAACTCCGCGGTTCACGCAGTTAAAAACAAACTTATTTGACCGTTTTGTGGGAGTTATGGTCGTATTTTACGTTTACAATTGTATTAGTAATGATTTCCTAAAGTTAAAAGTTACTCACATGTTTTTCTCTGCTCTCCGGACGGGCTTTTTGCTCCGTGTTTTCGAACATCTGACTGCCGACGCGCAGTGCATGCTGGGATACTGAAGGCTGTGAAGGATACTCGGATGTGTCGTCCGTTCGTGGCCCCATCTCCATGGAAACGAGGCCGGTTTTAGGGCTGCATTTGAAGGCTGCATGACATAAAAATGAAATGGGACAGGCCTTGTTTCACAGGAAGTGACGTATGCGGCTTTAAAACCAGCCTTTGGAGGCTGCAGCCCTCGAATTGGGACACAGCCAAAATGTTATGTAAAGTGGCAACAAGGAACTTGACTTAATAAGATTAGGCACTTTTTTATATTTATTTTATATTTTTATATTTGCTCATAACCTTTATTGCATGATTTATTGTCACTACATTGATAAAATCCAAAATTATTTCGTAAAAATGTGTTCACAGGTCGTCTTAATTAAGATTTCATGCCTCTTCTCTACAAGTATTTAGTTTTCCAGCAGCAAACCTGTCCCTAAAGTGTCATTGGAAATCTATGGGAGTCGTAATTAATCAGGCTTTTGCATAATTAATTCATTTGATGAGTGTTGCCCTGATAGATAATTCTACAGGGGCTGAGATGATTTTAGTTTAGTCCAAATTAATATTCTAAAACACAAGATGATATGATAAAGAAAGCTTCTAATCCACACTTCTTCAATACTTTATGAAGCTGTGAGTCTGGCCAGAGGGGCGTGAGTGATAGCTGGATGAGCCAATCAGGGGCATGCATGGTCTGTCTGTATCAACCCACACTTCCCCTCTGACCAGGGGTGAAACTGACTAGTGGCCTCTCCATTGGTACTGCAGCTCCCAGGAGCTTTGACCCTGTTAAAAAGTCTCCCATAGCACAAGGCATTTTTGGGTGAATTTAAACTGCCCGCGTTCGGTTGACAGGGATACTTCTCTATTTTCACAATGTGAGCTTTTAAAAAAAGTCAATCCTCAAAGTGCTTAAAAGTTAACTTTGTAAGATTTGTCCTATAGCCACCCTCTGACTTTGTGCAAGCTCAGCTCTAGCAGCTATTACTCTGATTGGTCAGAACTGATCACGTGATGCATGAAGAAGAAAAATATTTTTTGGCCTTTCATGTCAATGAGCAGACGAAAACAACACAATAGGATTCATACTTCCATAGTTCATGTCAAAATAATGAGAAAAGTACATCACAGACAACTGAAAAAACAATATGGATTTCTGCGATGAGCAAAGCACTAAACTCTTAATCTGAGGTGAGAGAAATGTGATTTTGTTCTAAATGGCCAATGAGCTCCTTCATTTCAAGTGCAACAAACAGAACTTGATTGCAAGTTACTGTTATGAATGAACTTAACCATTTCTTTATAAGTCACCAAGTAACTTTTAAAATTCTCACTATTCTCTGGAAGTCAGTGGTGATGGTACAATATGTGTACTTTTGCATTACACTTCTCAGTTTGACTATGTTGATTTCTACTATTCTTACTTTGGATTCATATAACTTAACTTTAATTAAATATATATTTTTAATTTACTCAAGGCACTCTACATTAGGACTGTCAAAAGTACTGAAAATCAAATACTGAAACTAGTTTTGAAACTAAATACGTATTTGAGCACAAATCTCTAATAAGTCACATTCACAGGATAGAAATGATCCTTTCCTGAATGTCTTTCGAATAGTCTTTTTTTATCACTTTGTTTTTATTATATTTGATAGGTTTGTAAACATAAGAAAATATAAAAAGAGGAGAAATAATAATGACAATGGAAGGAAATAAAACAAAACAGAAGCCTAGGTGACATTGATTATTCTACTTTTGCATATATGATGTCCATTTTTCCCATTTCTTCTTCATTTGTGCCTCTTGCAACCTCAGTCTATAAGTTATCTTTTCCATTAGATATATGTCCTTTATTGTAGATGTCCACTGATCCTTTGAAGGCACAGAAGTTGTGCCCCAGTTCCTGGTTATTGATTTTTTGGCTGCTAATGACATGACTTTGAAAAGATATATATCGCCTTGGTGAATAATGTTTTCTGAGAAGTTGCATAGATAGACCAGTTCAGGCGACAAAGGGACAGGATATCCCAGCACCTGCCCCAGTACATCACAAACCATCTCCCAAAATACAGTAATATTTGCACAGTTCCAAAATATATGAGAATGGTCTACATTAATCTCTCCACATTTCCGCCAACACATTTGATGTATCCTTAACTGCTTACTCTTTAATTTAGGTGTAATAAAGAATCGAATCAGGTTCTTCCAGGCAAACTCCCTCCATGTTCGAGAGCAGGTGGTGGTGTGGTGATGCTGCCACATGTTTAACCAATCTTTATCTCCAATTTTTATGTTCAATTCTTTTTCCCAATTCTCCTTCACTATTACAGTTGTGTTCTTATCGTTTTTAGTTAGGGCTTTATATAATGCTGAAATTATTTTAAGATTACCATCTTTATAGGCTTTAGTTATTGTTTGGATGACGTCACTCTCTTCCATGGAGGGGTTCCCCTGTATTTCCCTTCTATGATAGTCTCTCATTTGGAGGTACCTGAAGAAATCATGTTTTCCAAGTTGATATTGCTTTGTCAAGTTCTGAAAGCTCTCCAGCTGCCCATTTTTCTCCAATACACACCAGGCAGTCATCCCTTTTGTTGTCCAGTATTTATAATTTATGTCATATTTGGCTGGCATGAACTGACTATCATATGCCATCCATTTTAATTTTTTTGCATGGTTTTGAATCTTGTGCTTTCTAAGTATTTTGAACCATATAGTTAATGTATGATTTGTTATGGGATCTAGGTATAATTTATATTCTTCATATAACTCTTTATCTCCAATCATATTCTGAATTTGACCCTCCAGACTACTACTTTCAATATCTTTCCATTTACCACTGTAATATGGATTACACCAGCAGTGCAGGTATCTTAATTGTGAGGCATAATAATATTCTTCCAACTTGGGTAAGCCCATCCCACCCTTTTCTTTGGGCAGCTGGAGAGTCTCATATCGCACTCTGGGCCTCTTGTTGTCCCAAATGAACCTAGAAACAATCTTATTCCAAATTGTGAATTGTGTATTAGTGACCCGTACTGGTAGAGCTTGGAATAAAAATAAAAACCTGGGCAAGATGTTCATTTTTACAATATCAATTCTAGAGCTAAAGTCTAAAGGAAGGGTAGACCATCTTTCAATATCTTTCTGTATTCTTTCCTGTACTTGTGAATAATTCTTAGAATTTACTTCTAGAAAATCTGTTGTTATTTCAACCCCTAAATATTTAATGGATTGCATTTTCCAGTTAAATTTCAAGGTTTTTTTTATATTCTGGGAGGGAACATAATTGAATTTTAAAATTTGAGTTTTTGAGATATTTATTTTATAGCCAGACAAATATTCAAATGTGTCTAATAGGGTCATCAGTTCTGGGAGAGATTGATCCGGTTGTTCGAGGTAAGCAATGATATCGTCAGCAAAAAGTCCAATTTTATGTTCAACTCCATTTATTGTGACTCCTTTAATTTCAGGGTTTTGCCTTACAGCCTGTGCCAGGGGTTCGATAAAGATAGCAAACAGGGATGGAGAGAGCCCACATCCCTGTCTTGTTGACCTTTCCAACTGGATTTTTCCTGTCATATTTCCGTTTATTTTAATTCTTGCTGTAGGTTGAGAATATAATGTTTTTATAATGTCTACAGATTTGGTATTGAAGCCCATTCTTTCCAGTCAAGTACAGAAAATTCCAATTGACTGAGTCAAAGGCCTTCTCCGCGTCTATGCTCAATAGGACTACACTTCGATTTTGTCTTTGGGCTCTCTCCGTTATATGCAGGGTTCTCCTGATGTTGTCATGTGTCTGCCGTCTCTGTATGAACCCTGTCTGATCTTCATCAATTAGATCAGACAGAAATGTGTTTAATCTTTTGGATATTATAGATGTATATATTTTATAGTCTATATTTAACACTGAAATAGGTCTGTAATTAGCACAGGTTTGTTTGTTTTTGCCTGGTTTTAAAATAACTGATATTATTGCTTCTGACCATGAAGCTGGTAATTTATTTTCTTTTAGTGTCCAATTTAATGAATTATGTAAGATCGGTATCAGTTCATTTTTAAATATTTTGTACCATTCAGCTGGGAAACCGTCACTACCAGGTGATTTACTCTTCTTTAGGGAGCCTATGGCGCCAAGTATTTCTTCTCTTGTGATCTCTGCTGTTAACGTGTTATTTTGATTTAAACCAATTGACGGGAGATCCATTTGTTGAAGAAAATTTCTCTTACATTCTTCACTTGCTGAAGGAGGCTGTGAATACAGTTTTTTGTAAAAATTTGTAAAAATTCTTTCAATATCTTCAGGTTTTCTTCAGGATCTTTAATTTCGTAAATTGTATTTAATGCTTGCTGTTTTTTAATTCTTTTGGCTAATAGTTTGGTAGATCTAGGTCCCATTTCGTAGTAACTTTGTTTAAAATAGATATGTTTTCTCTCCATTTCTTCTATTAATATATTGTTAATTTGTTTTTTTGTGTCTTGGATCTGTTGACAGATTTCCATTGTTTTTGTTTTTACAAACTGTACTTCGAGTTCTTTAAGTCTTCCACAACATTCTTCATACCTTTCTATTTTACTTTTCTTCAACCATGCTGTTTTAGCTATTAGCTTTCCCCGAATAACTGCTTTCAGGGCATCCCACACCACTGTTGGGTCTACCTCTCCGTTATCATTCTCTTCTATGTATTGTTGTATTTCCTTTTTTATGTCTTTCACAATTTCGTTGTTATTCAGAATGCCCACATTCATTCTCCACAAGGTCTGTTTTTTTCTATTCGAGATGTTGATTTTCATGTATAGAGCATCATGGTCAGATACATCTGCACATCCAATTTTACATTCTTCCACTCTATATCCTTCTGATTTGTTAGTAAAAAAATAATCTATCCGTGAATGTACTTTATGTCTGGCAGAGTAGTGGGTAAATTCTTTCTCAAAGGGATGCATGGTTCTCCATATATCTATCAGTCCTAATTCTTCTAGGGACAGTTTAACAAATTTGGATACACTCTTTTTGTTTTTATGGGTACTT